TATGGAAAACGGTTTATTCGCTTGTGACAGATAGATAGATAGATAGATAGATAGATAGATAGATACTTTATTGATCCCCAAGGGGAAATTCACATATAAGGCATATATATACTATATATAGTAAGGCAGAAAAACTTAAAATGGAAAATAAAGTGGAGACCAAGCAATTAAAATGTGTCCTCTGCTTAGTGTATCGTTCAATAAAAGCACATGTATTTTAAAATTGTAATCCTGCTGCTGACATTAGGAGGAGAGAGGGGCGCCCTTTCCTCACAGTTCCCCATTCAACCTACTGAACAGGTGTATTATTTTGAAAAGCGATGACCGGATGTTCTGTTCCGTGTTTTGCCGCCAGCTCGACGTGAGTCCAACCGGTGACGAGCAGCAGGCGGAGAACACTTTAAATACTTTAGTGACTTTAAAATAAACATATTTACGCCTTCAGACATGGCGCTCACCGATGCAGACGTACAGAAACAGGTAATGAAGCAGACAACGTTAGACTCGTAGTTAACCGTTAGCTTCTACTCGCGTTTATGTTACTTATAACTTATATTTAGGTCGCTAAACGTCACTAACGGTTAACGGTTGACGGGCTAAAATTTGAATTACCGTTAGTATCAGTTAACGTTAGCTGTTAAATAAACGTTATTCCGCACTAACCAACTGCCGCTAACTGTCGACAGTTGGTATTAAACGTTAAACTAACGGTCAATTTTGATCTTATATGAGTTTTCGGTAACTTGGCACACTTTTTGGTGATGTTTAGGTTCATATTTAAGGAGTAAACGAGATTATTTAAAGTCTTTTCCCATGCTGAAGAACATTTTCTGTTATGAATTTTGCATTTACATTTAGACATTTGAACAAACTTTAACATTTAAGTGACATTTTGTTTGTTTTCTCTTGTGGCAGATCCGGCAAATGGTGGCCTTCATAGACCAAGAGGCCAAAGAGAAGATAGAAGAAATTGATGCAAAGGTAATTGAAGCCTGTCAGACAGTCTTGTGATTTTATTTATGTGCTGTTTTGCTGCGGTGGAGTGTAATGGGGCATTGTCACACACACACAGCCATCTGTTCACAGGCGGAGGAAGAGTTCAACATTGAGAAAGGTCGTCTGGTGCAGACCCAGCGGGTGAAAATCATGGCTTTCTATGAGAAGAAGGAAAAGCAGATCGAGCAGCATAAGAAAATGTGAGTTGTCGGTTATCGCCAGTCGAAGAAAGAGCAGTTTTCTCTTACATTACACGAGACGGAGGCAGTCTGGATGGATCGAGAAGCAACGGGTGCACTATACAAGCTGCGTCAACTAATTCAATCACTTCTTACAAGATATATTAGTTTTTTTTCCTCCCACAAAGTCACTTTGTCGCTCTGTGGCCTTCCTGGTTCCTGATCTTAAGTCTCTCTGCACAAACATCTCCACGTTTGCCTCTTGTGGATCTTGTGAATCCAGTTTGTCTGCTGTTAATTTACTCATTACTTTCTCCTTCCCCTCTCTCAGCCAGATGTCCAACCTGGCGAACCAGGCGAGGCTGAAGGTGCTGAAGGCCCGTGACGAGATGATCACGGTTAGAGATCCTTCGTATGTTGACGCAGTCGCAGAAACGTAACAGCGTGGAGTTTAAACTACTTTAAATGGATCTTTTTTCCGCCCCTGCTTCAGGATTTGTTGAACGAGGCTCGCCAAAGACTCGCAGAGATTGCCGGAGACCCTGCTCGGTACTCCGCCCTGTTAGAGGGCCTGGTGCTTCAGGTAAATCCTCCACCTGCTCTCGGTTTGTTGGTTCTCCGTGTTTCCTGAGTTTGTCCCTAAATTTTCAGGGATTCTTCCGACTGCTGGAACCCGAAGTTACCGTTCGCTGCCGACAGCAGGATGTAGAAATGGTTCAGGTGAGGTTGAGCCGACTGTAAGTTGTGAGACGTCAGGAGAGCGCAGGGCATCACGAGCATCCTTGGTTGCTCTGATAATAGTTGGCAGTGTTTTATAAGTGTTTTATTGCCCCGACAGGCCGCAGTTAATACGAACATCCCTATCTACAAAGAGGCAGTGAAGAGCAACATCGTCGTCAAAATCGACCAGAAACGTTTTCTTCCATCAGAGATGTAAAATGATTTAACACACTTTAATTCTTACTGTCAAACTTTTTTTTTTTTTTCTTGTTTGAAAAGATGTAATTCCACTCTTTGTTTTAGCAGCTGCGGAGGAGTCGAAGTGTATAATGACAATGGGAAGATCAAGGTTTCCAACACTTTGGAGAACAGGATAGAACTTATCGCACAACAGGTAGAGTAACTTTGATGATCTGAAATCTAAACCATCATTCAAGAGCTCAAAAACACACTGAATGTAGTTCCTGCTGTTTGCCTGTGGAGGGCGGCACAGCCCACCGGGTTTAAAGCTTTCGTCCCAAAGTCCCTGCTTCCTACACACAGCTGCATCCTGTAGAAAAAGACTTTGTTAATATTATCTCATGTGTGCGCAAACACAAACATCTCTGTCAAAATTTGTGATAAAAAAACATCTTTTTTTTTTTTTTTTTTCACCTCCGTCCCAAACTGAAATAAAAATAAACTAATAAAACTATATAAAGGTTGTTTTTCTACAATAAAAATATCGATAATATGCATGGCATAAATAAATAATGATGTTGTGAATGAATTATAAATCAGCTCATTTCTAAATGAAAACATTTGTTACACATAAATATTCAACTATAACTGACTTAGAGCCGTGATAGTTGCATTACTTTCAGGTCAACTACAGCGTGTTTGACACTACATAATATTACATACTGTAATAAGATATATTATTGCAGCAAAGAAAAAAGATAAAATGTTTATAATCCAGGCCACATCCGTTCCCGTTCAGTTTCTCGTGTGTGCTTACTTGTATCCTGACTTTACACCTGACAGATGATGCCTGAGATCAGAGCGAACTTGTTTGGTGCCAACCCCAACCGCAGGTTCACGGATTAACGGTGGATTTGAAGAGAGCCGTGCGGACGCGGGTGGAAGTGCCATCTGATTTTACGTCTTCAGGGATTGTCTAAAGGACTGCTTTAAATTGCAATCTGTTGCTCTACTACTTGATTACAGTAATCAAAGCTGCACATTTAGGTCACCAAAGATACACATTCACACTGTTACTCTACATTTTTTGTGGATATAATGAGGTTGATTATATATGTTTATCAGACGTTCATTTTTGTGTAACATTCAGGAGGATCTGTTTTCAGAAAGGTGTGTTTTCATTAGTGTATAATCACTTTTATGGACAGACGCCGCAGGTCGCCTTCCAAGGAGTCAACCCTGTTTCTAGAGTAACCGAGAACAGACATACAAAGGGCTGTAGAGAGAAGGCTTTCAGTGTTTTTCACAGGTTTTGTGGCACCGTAGTTTCTCCTACACACTTCACAGCCGGTTTGCATTACCAGGTTGTCAAAAACATGCGCGAGTAGTGTTCATTTAGATACAATCTGCCTTGCCTGTGTGGGTTTGCGCACAGTGATGTTTACTATTGTTCTGAATAACTTAACGTACAACAACCAAAGAAATAAATGTGCGTGACACAGAGAAATCAACATGTATGAGATATCTTTATTTACAGCTTGTAAACAAACAGTTTACTCAGGCTATGTTCGCTCTACAATGAGGAAAATGTAGTAGCCTAGGTACACTAGCCACATCAAAATGTGTCTTGCATTAAAAATGTAAAAAAAAAAAAAAAAGCTTTTAGTGCCACCCGATGGACTTCAGTAACGGCAAACAGTTGGCAAGACGAGCTGCCGTACTCCCTCCACGGGTCTAACAAATACAAGGTGTCCTCGCTAAGAGGGACTCCAATACCAAATCAATGTTTCAACACCACCAATTCCACTGAATTCATTTAAGACTTACAGTTTTGATGCTTTAGAAACTATCAGCATTGATAAGGCTTTAATTGCATTTTTCCTTTTTGTTATTGTGCGTACGTCATTTGAAGCAACATGTTCTTTTATGTAACTAAGCAGTAAAACCGGCCAAAGGCTTCTCACAGGTTTTATTAAAACCCTCCCAAGCTGTGGAGAAGGGGAAGTCAAGGCGACGAGATTGAGGCCCAGCGGTCTAACCTGTGGCCTGTAGGCAGGAAGTGAGCGGTGTGTTAGGGTATATTGTACGCTAATACAGAGATTAAAGCATTACCATCAGATTAACAAGTGACCTTAGAGACAGTGGCAGGCAGCACCTCCCAATCCAGTGGAGAAATCCAAGATTACAACTCAGACCTCACGGATGGAGGCGGGAGGAATGCGTAACAGCCTTGGCAGAAGGAGATGTAGCTCCTTTTCCAGAGGAACACATCAAACATTGAAATATATATGATTGGCGTTTGAAGTCGAGCCAAATACCCAGCGCAGGCTCTTCACGTCAAAACGTTCTCTTAATATTAAGCTTTTGATAAAGATTGAAAGGGGAATCTGTCACTTACATAGGATGATGCACAGTTCTTCGTCGGTAGGCATTTTAGTTAGCAGCCTCAAACAACATGCAGCAGCTCCTTCTTAACACCACACGTTACAATCTCCCTCAGGGGAAAAGGGACAGCCACAGACGTATTGTAGCAAGCACACAGGGATAACCCAGAACACTTGGGACACAGACCCTCAGATTAGTCACACTCATACACAGGACCCCGTTAAACCTACGGATCCCTGCTGACAGCATGTAAAAACCTAGAGAAACGTGATTAGTGTGAACACATCGGTCCACGTGTTAGTAAGTAGAGCCTCCTCATGTTTCAGACCCCCTTCCCCTTCCTTTTGGTTTGTGGCTCTCTGGATTCACTCATTCACTGCAGATTAAAGCAGCAAATTGTACAGAGACGACACAACCACCGCCACCGCTGCCAAGCACTGCTATTCCAGCAACCCCAGCACCGCCTCCCCTACCCCAAGAAAGTAGACAACCTGGGCAATACCAAAAAGAGGCGCGATGACTAAAGCGCGGCACGTCGCGCCCTTCAGGAATGCTGCCGGGCCCTCCCGCATCATGATGCGCCTGCAAGAGTACACAGAGAAGGAAGAAAATGTTTCAAGGCTCTTTACACTTCTGAATGTTAAAGCAACAAAAGTTCTGTGACAGACTGAAAATCTTACCGTGTGCAGTCGATAATCCCTCTGTACGTGTCCTCCCCCTCACCTTTCTGCAAGGTCTGCAGGCGAGTCTTTATGACTGTATGGGCATTTAAAACACAAAAGCTGCTGTCAGTACATCACATCAACTCAGAGATGACTCTCAGTTAAAGCAAACAGCAGCCACAGTGGACACAAACAGTCACAGGATAACGGTAAATGCTAACATCTAGTTTAATAGTAACACAAGTAAAGAAGTCAAAAAGTCGGTGAATTGACTCAGTGATGTGTCTGAAATCACTCCCTACCTGAACTCTGAGTACATTCATTCACGATATAGTTCCCTCATGTCATGAGCACTTCTTTCTGCTAATAATCCAACAATACAAATGATAATGATGATAAGTAATTGTCCGAAATCTCGTTTTACATGGAGTTTATATTGAGTGTCTATTAATAGGGGAGCAATCAATGAGTGAACAAGCGAGTGGTTTCAGTCACAGCCAGTATCTATCTAAAATGTGATAGATAGATAGATAGATAAACTTTATTGATCCCAAGCTGGGAAATTGCAGGGAAATGTGCTGACCTTCGCTAACCTGAGCGACCACAAGCTGCTGGTCACACCAGACTGAGTGAGGCTGTAGCAACAAAACCTTTGAGTGTATTGAACTGAGCAAGGTTGCGTTTTAAAAAAAGTTCATTTCATCATTTTGCTTTAAAACATTTTATTAAAGTCGCCGTTCTCACCCAACCTCCTATCCCACCATCTCTCTTACTTTGTGTGTTCCTGTCTCCCACTCACCATCCAATGGTGTTACAGCCACAGCTGCCACCGACCCTGCGGCGCAGCCGGCCACAAAGGACTGCAAGAATGGCGCCCGGGCCTGCACATTACCCACTTTTTCCACACCCAGTGCATTTAGGTTGGCAAACAGTGGGAAGTAGATCATTGAGAAGGGGACATCCCTGAAAGAAAGAGAGACAGAAAGCGCTGTATTACAAGTTAGGCAGTCCCTCCAGGATTTTGCTGGCTTTTTTGGGGATTGTTGTGGCCTGAATGCCTCATATAATGGCAGCTTTTCTAAAAAATGGTGGTGCTTTTAAGCATTTTTATGCAATGCAATTGAGTGAGAAAGTTAAAATAGCAAAAAAAAAGTTTATTTATTGTTGTTTATTGTTATTTTTTGTGTCATTCATAAAAAATCTAAGGCAACATATTCTGGTAAGTCTAAAATCACAATTGCACAGGAAACTGCAATGATAAAAGTTGCGCTGATTGGACAAAATTGTGAAGAATTTGTGTTATTTGTTGTGATCGCAGCTTCCTGGAGGGACGGGCAATGAGAAAGAAAAGGGAAAACAAAGTGGGAGAGGGTGAAGTCACAACAGAGAAGCAGGGACAGAGAAAGAGACGTGGCCTTATTCAACTGCAGTAGAGCAGCCAGACATCGCTGCAGGGAACTATTGATCAGTGTTGATTGGCAGAGGTGTCAGGAAATACACACACACAGTATGAGTTATGCAATATAAAATCAACTCATTAAAGCGGTGATGACTGTTCAAAGAAAGGAGAGGCAGAGCTGTAGAACAGTAGCAGCTGTGACTGGTCATGTACCTGATATTTTTAAAGGTTTCCAACATAGAACAACATAAAACAAAGTATAAAAAGCATCATGACAGACTGAATGACACCAGAGAGAGCAAGGAGATGATCAGTTATAATGGACACCAGAAACAAACTGTGGAAGAAGTATTTCTGGAATATAAATATCATTGAAAATGACTGTATTGCCTCTGCTTCAGTACGTTTTACTTAAAATAGTAAGTAAATGCATACATGTACATTAAAATTAAGAAAAACACAAATGTATTCATGTATTGTGAGTGGTGAGTGTGTCTTTGTGTGTGTGTGACCTCATTAAGGTGGCTCCTGCCCCTCTGTAGAGGCCTGCCAGTCCACGAGTCTTCAAAAGCTCCACAGTGATGCCGGTGGCTGAGGGCCGAGGGGGCTGGCTCGGTCGTGCCGGTGGGGGGGCCACCAACGACGGAGCTGGACCGGGAGCAGCCGCCTGAGCCGGAGTTGGAACAGGCCTCTGAGCAGCTGATAGTCAAACACAGACTGTCCCAGGTTAAAAAACACATGCAGGCTGATGTAATCGTGCAGCCATCACTGTGAATGTTTTTATGACTGAACTGGTTTTTCTGTTTTTATTTCTTTTCATCCTTTTACACGGATATACATTTTGGTACTTGGTAATTTTACAAGGACAAAAGCATTAAATCGCCAACTCACCGAGCCTTCCTGCATCCTGCAGCTGGATCTTTAGCATTTCCATGGGAGTGGTGACTACCACCTGGCAGGTCCCAGCCCCACACCCTGCCAGTACCTCCCCCCACAGGGGCAAATGCCTGGGGACACAATAGAGTATACAGGTATACAACATTAACAAGAGTTAGCTCCTGTAATAACAGGCCATGTGTCCACGTGCTGATTTATAGGAGTAAATACACAAGCTTGTGTATATTTTTAGAACTCCTGACAGGAGTTTGTTTACTTGCCAGATTTTGCCAACACACTGGGAAAATGATGTAATACAGGCGATACATCACAATAATTTATTTAAAACTAGGTTAAAGATTGGCATGCTTGGTTTCATGACACAAAAGAACACATGCATTTTTATTAATACCAGTTAGTTGAAAGAATCCCGATGAGAAACTGCTTTTTTCTCCCACATATTTCACTGCACTTAATACATGATACAGCAACTCACAGTGATGGCATTTAACAAAAGTGACCAAAAATTCTCCAAACAAAACCAACTCTTCACTTATTTTAACTCATTAATGTCAAATTAGTTTACTGTAGTAACCTTTCTTTTAAATCTAATATTATTTAATATCACTCTATGTCTCATGATTGATCATTGAAGGACAAAAATCAAAGTACCCATCCCGGGAGAGCTTCTGTCTGAAGACGTCATTGGCAGCAAGCTTGATGGCTTTTTCTGGTGTGACAAGAGTGAGGTTCACTGCTGCACCTGGAAAACACAAACAGGCCGATGACAGTGACATCCAACAGTTACCACCCTGGTACACAAATAGAACAAACCTACACAGCAGCTTAAGGCTCACCACCGTGGCCTAATGGCAGTAGACACTCGTTATTATGATGAAAAGATTTAAGGACTCAGAAGAGAAACAACAGCGTAGGCGGCTGGATTAAGCATGTAGTAAAGCACACTTATAGTGTTGTTTGTCCCGGGGATTAGAAATGCAAAGAATACCTCTGTAGCATCCAAAATAGCCCTCCGAGCGAATCGTCTTGGCCAGGCAATCCAGCCTTCAAAAGACAAAAGCAATGCAACTGACTTTGTATCTGTTTTTCATATGTTGTGTAAAGTCAGTAGAACTTAAAGTACACTATTACTATGTTTATTCTTCATCATTAACCGTACTGACAGACA